AAGAATGATTTGTTAGTTTTCATAATTCTACAGGTTGGTTAGATGACTCCTCTCCTGATTCCACCTGGGATCACTCATACAAGTACTTTCAGTTAGAAACTTGGCTGGACTAAAAGATCAAGATGGCCTCACATCATGAGGCCATGACATGAATTCACAGCTTTTGCTAGGCTGGGCTAGCTTCCCTACATGACAGCCTAGGACAGCATTCCAAGCATGAAGGTAGGGCCATCCCTTTGACTCCAGAACTTACGGCATCACCTCCACCACAGTCTTTTGAGTTGAGTCAAGCAGTCACAAGCCTAGCTCAAAACAAAGAGGAAAGGAATACATTTCATCTCCTGCTGGGAGCTGCTGAAGCAGCCAAGTTTCATCTCACACAGGCTATAAGGACAGGAGTTTTTGCTCTGAGAGTAAGATATTGAAATTATGACATTTTGTGGCTAAAATGTTTCTGGATAAGAAATATCCACCACCTGATCTTGAAGTCTGAATAATTTGAGTGCAGTATGACAAAACCACTGGTATTGGGCCCTCCCTGGTGGCACAACAGGTTAAAGCACAGCACTGTGAACCAATCCACAGCCACTGCAACATGAGTTCGATTCCTAACCAGGGAGGTGACCCACATGGTGTGGCGGACCTCTCCTGACCTGCCTGCTGCTCCCCTCAGCAGTGTATTTTAGTCGATCTGCTTGTTCAGCTCCCCACTCTGTCTCTGGTGAATCCTTTCACCTCCCCCACACCTCTGGGCTGTACCCCAGTTCTTGTATGCATAAATAAATCTTTAAAAAAAAAAAAGACCACTGGTTTTGAATTAAAGAAACTATGAGACTAGGGTATGAGATGCATTATCATTGGATACAAGAAGGCTGAGTTGGTAATAAATGTGGAGGAGTTGCCTAAACCCAATAGATGACAGTAATAGAGGCAGAGGTGGGGGTAACCAAGCCAGGTGTGGTAATTTGGTAACCAGGAGATCATCACCATAAATTAGCCTTGTAGCTGATAGGCACCGGCATCCAAACCTCCTCACCAAGTCCTTCATCATTCAACCTCCATATTGCCTTGTTCACTTGTCAGTTTCAGTTACCACTTTTGACTTCCAGAATAGGTAGACAGATTCTTCATCATTTAAACTCTCAGGATAAGTGTCCTCAGGATTCAGTGAAAGTATAAAATGAAGTTTAAGTTGGTCCTGAGTTAGTATATTACAAACATTCCATAATAACTGATTACCGGTCCTTTTTAGCTTTCCTTTTACTCTTACATCTTACTTGCTTCTTCAGATATGTATCTAAAGGCAAATGGGTATTCCCCTAGATCTGCAGGATTTATGATGGTGAAATTTGTAAACAGTGTTAAATGAGTAATATCCATTATTCTCATTCTAGGTAAGTAAAAATCAAAAGTCAGAGAGTCATTATCCAGATGGTCCTAAGAGCTCATTCACCCATCAGAGTACAAAATATGGATAAATTAGAGCTCATAACAAGAAAGATAAATTTGCATATTTTTATAATTACTACTATAATTTAATGTTTATTTGTTTTTGTATAACAAAAGAAAAATGGGTTAACAACAATACAAGTGTTACATGTGTTTCCATCCTTGACTTGACTTTTTATTTTTAAAATGCCTTTGAGATCACTACAAAATTAATTTTTACCCTCGCTGTCCCCCAAAAAAGGAATCCAGCCAACTGCTCCTGAAAATTCTGTCTAAAGGGAGTGACCTGAACTATAAGTATCTAATTTTTGCCCTGACTTTTATTCCCTTGCACGTTGTCCCTTTTGTACAAGGTTCAACACCTTTGCAGTCACTTAAGTATTGAGCAGCTTGCTAGAGATTAGAGGACCCATGAATGTAATTCTTACCTTTGACACAGAAATCCTTTCTGGGAGTGTGCTTATGTATGAGATATATCTATAAATGAGCAATGATAGCTTTTGTAAGCACAGCCTTAGTAGAAAGCTAGCAAGGCTTCTGCCCCCCTCTTCTCTAAAACTGTACAACTATCTGCCAGTGCTTCCATGATTCAAATTATTTAGGAGATTCCTTTGTGAGAACTGCTAGTAAGCTAGTTTGCAAGTCAACAAGTAAACCAACTCTTTGTTTTTTTCTATCATATCTCAAACATTTCCCCCACATTTGTAGGGATTGGCTCCTGTGATTTCTATCTATCTAAAAATTTAAAATAAAATTTTCTGTCAAAAGAAATAAGGTATTCCACCGTATAGGAAATTCAAAATAATAGTCCTCAGGTTCTAGAGTTGTGAAACTACAAATGAAACCTGTTTTTCTCACGCACGTTACTTCATGATAGTATCACCGGAAACTTGTCAAAGACTGTTAAGAAGTGTTACCATTTTTTTCGAGAATCTAGAAATGTGCCATAAAAATATTTTTAACCTACCTTTCTAATTCTGTTATCCTTTAGTTAACTATGATGTGCTCTCCCTTCTTACACCCCACCCAGAGCCTTTTCTGCCCTCATTGCTTAAGTTCATCTGTCCTTCTTGTATCTGTGTTCTTCAGTTTTCATGAAGAACTCATAACTTACTTTCACTACTAAAATATATCTTTCTTATTGGTATTTGTTATTATTAAGTGTATGGCTTTGCGTGTAATTCTTATTTTCCACCTGCCTCAATTTTGCCATCTAAAGAGATCCACTTTCATCGTCATGATCATAGTTTTGAAGCCACCAGTGTATCAAGTACTGCATTGGGAATGTCAAACACGGTTCACCTCACCCTCACAATATTAGGAGATGGTACTACAATTCCCACTGGGCAGATGAGGAAACTCAAACTCATAAAACGCCAATAACTTGCCCAAAGTTAAATGACAGTAATGTCATATCCATCTGTGACAGGGTTTCATACCTTTGACACTAGGTGAAAAAGAGAATTCTTTGTTGTGCAGCCTGTTCTGATCTTAGTAATAGATTTAACTACATTTCTGGCCTCTGCTTCCTAGAAACCAGTAACACCCCCACATACACAACCTATTGTGACAACCAAAAATGTCTCCACATGTTGCCAAATGTTCTCCAATGGGTATTTAAAAATCTCTGATCTAATGCCAAAGTTGTGCTTTTGCAACATTATACTATTAAAAAAGGAATTGATAAAAACACAGAACTCTAACACTAAACTTCAAAGAGGTTGATTTTAGAAGTCATCACACCTGACTGATCAACAACATTATAGATTTTACTTATGATTCTCTTTCCCTACCAAGGACCTTCCGAGTCAGCCTTTCCAGGTGAGGACTGGTATAGGTCTGGTTTAAGCTTTTCCATGGTGTAGGATCCACAGATCACACCCTAACCTCACTATACATCTGTTTCTTGAATCACTTCACCCATTCCTGCCAAATAGCCCTCCAGCTGGGGTTTAACACCTCCTGTGAGTGTTACAAGAGACAATTCCTTGTTCAGATGGTTCTAAGAAAAACATTCTTAATGTTCTTCCTTATCTTTTTGCCTCTATACATACACTTAACCTCATATTATCCAAATTATCATTTGTCTCAAATCATTTGAATTAAATACTTACTGAGTTCCAGGAATGCATTAGGCCTTAACCTAAATAGTTTCTATGCCATTGTTGTTAAAACCAATATCAATTATTTAAAATATGACCATCTAACCAGTTTGTCAGCTTCCTCAAAAGGGCAATTACAATACATTAAAATCTTAAAATTCACTTGGTTGGCCATCCACCGGCTGCTGCTGGAAACTGTCCGCTCTGCAACCTGAGGAGATTCTTCTCCTGAGGAAACAGTTCTTCCTCTTTTCTACTTGACCCCCCACTCACCACCCTCTTTCAACCTTTTGTTTTTTCATGGCTTCGGGAAGACTCCAAAGTAATTCCTTATCTTGGAAAGAACATTCTTTAACCATATGTTTCAGACTTCTTGATGAGAAACACAGAGAGGAAGGTTTCAAATCTTGCTTTACGGTGCCTCACTTGGGAATTTTTTGGGTTTTTTTTTTTTAATGAATTTGGTTAATAAAAATAAATGAATAAGGTACCTTCTTAGTGGTGCAAGAGATTAAATATTAGCACTATGAAACAATAGGCGGCCACTGCAGCATGAGTTCCAAACCCAGGGAGCTAACCCACATGGCCTCAGCAGTGTATTTCAGTAGATCATCCCCCCAACACATACATACCTATGGCCTGCACCCCAGCTCCTGTGTGCATAAATAAATAAAATAATAAATCTTTCAGGAATAAATAAATGGAGCCCTCCCTGGTAGCACAGCAGGTTAAAGCACAGCATTAAGAAGCTAAAGCTGCTTCAGGTTGAGTTCGATCCCCAGCCCTGGAAGTGATCTGCATGGCGCAGCAGACCTCTCCTGACCTGCCCACTGCTCCCCTCAGCAATGTACTTCATTGATCTGCCTGTTCTGCTCCCCACTCTGTCTCTGATGAAGCCTCTCACCACCTCTGGCTTATACCCCAGTTCTGTATAACTAAATAAATAAATAAATCTTTAAAAAAAAAATTTTTAACAAGAGATAGTGGCTCACTGGAAGTCTCTGATGATCTGGAGAATCAAGTCAGCTTACCCTCCAGTGTCTGAGTTTAAAACTGAAGGTGATCAGTCCCTTTCATGAGTCAAGATGAGTAGCTTGTGAGTGGTGTGTGTGTCAGCAATTCCCCACTCGCCTGATGGCCCGGTAGGCAAGTTGTGTTTAGAGAAAACCAAAGAGAAAATAACACGTTAACCGGAAAGCTGTTTGGGGTCAGAATAACCCCAAACCATCTGGTATTTTTATACTTGTGTGAGATATAAAAAGAATACTGAAGTCTCAGTGAGGCTTGGTATGAACTTTCAGACTTTTTGCTTATATTTGAGCACCGCCCCCCCCGCCCCCACCACCAATGAAGTGCCTAGAACAAAGAGAAGACAGCCAGAACTCCTCGTCTCTGGTTGCTCTTAAAAGCCTGGGCACCCATAACATCCCTTCTGTTCTCTTCTTGCAGAGTTTTATAAATGGACACTGACATGGACTACGAAAGGCCCAACGTTGAAACCATCAAGTGTGTGGTAGTGGGAGACAATGCTGTGGGGAAGACTCGCCTGATCTGTGCCAGAGCGTGTAACACCACCCTGACACAGTACCAGCTGCTGGCCACCCATGTACCAACCGTGTGGGCAATTGACCAGTACCGGGTCTGTCAGGAGGTAAGATAGATGACATTTCTCTAAAATCCTAAAGGCCGGCCTCCCTGGTGGCACAAGGGTTAAAGTCTCAGCACTGTCAAGCTATCAGCAGCCACTGCAGTATAAGTTCAATCCCCAGCCAGGGAGCTGACCCACATGGCCCAGCAGACCTCCCCCTCTCGTGCCTGCTGCTCCCCTCAGCAGTGTATTTCAGTGGATCTGTCTGTTCTGCTCCCCACTCTGTCTCTGGTGAGTCCTCTCACCCCCAATTTCTAACTTATACCCCATTTCTTGTATGCATAAATAAATAAAAACAAATCTTTTTTAAAAATCCTAAAGGCAGGTCCTTATTATTGCCAGTCTGATTTTTAAAGGTGGGTATAGAGGAAGGATGGGGAAGAGTGGAGAGCAAGAATGGTTTTTGCATTTGAGACAAATCCCATGGCCCTCCCTGATCGCATGACGGGTTAAAGCACAGCACTATCCACAGTCACTGCAGCACATTCAGTCCCAGGCCAGGGAAGTGACCCACATGGCACGGCAGACCTCTCCTGACCTGCCCACTGTTCCCCTCAGCAATGAACTTCATTCAATCAGCCTGTTCTGCTCCCCACTTTCTCTGGTGAACTCACCCACCCCACCTGCACTTCTGGCCGGTACCCCAATTCTTGTATGCATAAATAAATAAATCTTAAAAAAATAAAAAGATAAATGTCACCAGAGTAAACAAAAATAAATGCAAGTTTGGGAGTATGGCCCTGGTATCCAGAATGAGGAAGACGTGAGTTATATGACTCCAGGAGGAGACTTAGGACGTCTCTTAAATCCTATTAGAAGAAGTAAGGAGGCAAAGTACAAGAGAATCAAATGGGCCTTGAGGGGTCCAACCCCAACATCCTTCGCTGGGGGAGCCTCTGATTGACAGATGTGTCTCTTTCCACAGGTCTTGGAGCGTTCCCGGGATGTTGTTGATGAAGTGAGTGTTTCTCTCAGGCTTTGGGATACTTTTGGTGATCATCACAAAGACAGACGCTTTGCATATGGCAGGTAAACCCAGATGAGTGTGGTGTGGTTTAGCTTCAGTATAGTTTCCTTTCCAAATCCTGCAACTGCATCATAAACCAAAGAAAAAACACACACACACACACCCACATCAGATGGCCTTGAAATGTGATGGGTTCTGCACTGTATCTAAGAAAAGAAAAGAAAAAAAAAAAACAACAGAACAACATTGTGTCCTGATGTCAAGAGAAGCGGTCTGCCTCACCACTTGGCTCCTCCCAGGAAGTGGTTTAAAAAAAAACAACAAAACAACCAGTGCTTTACACTGGGACTTTTGCTAAAGAAAAATTCTGGTGTGCCCTCAGCTGTGAGCTGCTTTAATCGCTGTTTTCCTGAGTAATACTTGATTGGCCTTCCGAAAAAATGTTTTAAGTTATTTTAGCACTTAGTCACCTCACTTCAGAAGTTCTACTGGTCTTTTCATGACCATATTAGCAGAATCTGATGTTATTTGCTTTTGGTTTTTTTTTTTTAAGTCTATTATTTTTATTTGAAGGTTGTGTTTTAAAAAGAAAGAAAAATATCTCTGAAGTCCTTCACAGCGTACATTTCCAAAATGAACTGAAATGCTCATGTATTTCATCTGTTTTCCATGTAAATCAAAAAAGAAAAAAGTCCAGTATCGGAAAGATTGAAGTTTGAAGGACATTAATATGAGTAGCACATGGTCAAAATGCCTTACAATATTTAACAACTTCTTACCACGATAACTTAATGTGTCAGTGAATGTGTATAACTATCAAAATCTAGATAAAAAGATTTCCTTTTTTATTTCAATGCCTTAACTGTAAATTAACACATTTCGTTTTAAGTTTAGAATTAAGGCCTCATAGATCAGTTTTCCCTTGTTCATGTCAAACATGTTACCTCACAGGATCGGTAACATTAGATATCCACATACATTAGTTACTTCTTGGTATTGAGATAAGCATTTCTAAAGTACCTCTGTTTCTTCAAGCCTGTAGCTCTCTTAAGCCTCTGATAGACTAACTGGTGTTTATTCAAGTGCTTTAAAATACTGAGTAAACTGCTGAAAGGTTTTGCCCCATCCCTGAGAAGTAGTTTACACACTGAAGGAGCCTTTGATTTAGATCGGTTTGTTAAGGAGGTCCCAGAAATAGACGTAATTCCATATGTCCGTATTGATTTTAATGTTAACAAGGACTCTTGAACTTAATTCCCAGCGTCATGGACACTTTTCTTCTGAACTCCCTGTCTAGTTCTGTTTTCTCTTACTATGATGTTCTTGATTCTTATCTTAGTTGCCATTCTGGTTTTTCCTTAGGTTCAATTGTTCCACACAGATGAAAATAGTAATCATACATGAACCTGCTTGAAAGTACCGTGCAGTCAGATTTACAATATCTGTGGTGTAAAAGAAGCTTAATAAAAGGGTGATTTAAAGCAAAGTAAGAAGTATAATACATCTTCAAAGGGCATTTTGCACTCTTGTTTCTAAAAAGGTACCCAAAAATAGAGCCATAAGATGGATTTACTAGAATATTGAGTTTAGTTCCTAGAAATCATATTTCAGCAGTTCAGTGGTCTGTTGCCACTTGAAATTTACCTTTTGAAATAATTAATTTTAACTTGACCCACAATGTATAACTTTTATTGTGGTACTACAAGGGCTGCTTCATTATCACGTGAGGTTCCTGTGTTACATAGCCTTCATGGCACAGTGACCTCATACAGTTGATATTGACAGGCATCTTCCCTGGGCCTCTTCCAGCCACCTGATAGATCTGGGGTCATTTTGCAACGTGTCATGCCTGTGCTTGCTCCCTCCCAACAAAAATAAACTGCTCTTTCATGTGACTCCATCAGTTCAAAGGGCATTGTTCAACTCTGCGGTCTCTAATGTTTGCTTCTATCTACGGCAACCTGTTCCCCTTTAGAGGGAAACAGGACACTCTTTCTAAGCCAAGTCTGAGCAACACAGAGGGGTTTCAGGAAACACTCCCGTGTTTCTGGATGAGTCCTCTTACCTCACATCATGTGCATGTTTGTGTCCTGTATTTCCTCTGTTTTTTCCTCCAGGCATCCTGCCCCAGGTCCCACCATGGGTAAAGAACAAAAACCAGAGCCATTGAGTCTTTCTATAAACACTAAATCTGTAAATTACATTGCATCGCACACAAAAAAATTATCAATTTTGGGGAAATTTGGTAGTAGCAGGAGTTTCTTTTAGTCCATATAAAACATTTTATTGCTATCTAAGAGCTGTTTAATTTCTTGATGACTTCCATTTTTAGCTTCATATCATTTGTGAAAAAGAAACATCATAATTACAGTTTCTGAAATAAGTAATTGACAAACCTGTTGTTTGACTGATGTTTTTACTATACTTGGCATGAATTAAAAGTCTGTGTAATGTGATAGATCCCTTAAATTTGAAAATATATTTGGAATCATTTTAAAATAATTCACTTGATTCTTGTGATGATAGTGAGAGAAACCAGGCTGGTACCAGATGCCTTGGGCCTCTCCTTAAATTTACTCTGCTTCTTAGCACCAAAGTAGTTAGTAAGTTGCCCCCTCAAACATTCTTTGGTCTGAACAAACACTAGTTTGTAGAGTGGATCCTGTGGACCAATGTGTTGTCTGTCTGCTAAACGGAGTTTGCTATTTTCTTAGCTTGTATAACACTAACCAGAATCTCAGTGTGTTCTTTACAATCTGAAGGCAACTGTTCAGCTAATTTTTTCACTAACTACAAAAGTACCTCCAAGATATCAAAGGCTGAACATGTATTTGTTAGAATATTAGGTGCTTTGACAACATTAATTTAGTTCAACTATCAGGAATCCTAGGAAGAAGAGATTCTCTCCATGCTACAGCTGAATAGTATTGTTTGAGCTCCTTTACTACCATGGATTGCCAACGGTGAGTTTCAGAGGCAGACCCAGCTCTGCCTAATGCTGGCACATCACCCTTTCCACTGAACCAAACTACCTCAGCCTCAATTTAAACCAGATATAATTGAAAAGCACCCCCCGTCAATGAGCAGGATGTATAAGTTTTCTCTTTCAGTTTTGTGTAGTCTTAGAACTGGGAGAGATCTCAAAGGGGTATCTGGTTGCCCCTTGTTTTGTTAGATGGAAAATCATACATCCAGGAAAAAGTATTGAGAGGAGTCCTTCTATTTGATGGAGATGAAAAATAGCAGAGAAGCATCAGCACCACAACACTTAACACATTTGAAATCTATCAAGCCCTCTCATCTGAAGGGAGTAACTCCAACTCTTTTGTAGCCTTTCCTCCCACCACCTACCTTCCAGCCACTTTTGGATGAACTTTTGAGTCTCTTTTCTGGATCTTTGAAAATGTCAAGAACAAACTGTACATAGTAACCGTAACTGTAATCAGCTGCTCTATTTTGGTGAGGAAAGAACCTCTTTTAAAGAGATATCACTCAACTCAAAGTTTTTCCCTAGAATTATGTAAGAATGAAATGATCACACTTAGGTCCCTGACACTAAAAATAGATAAGTATGATGGTCTGTGCCCTCAACTTGATATCTAGGCTCCTTAACCTATCTCCTATAGTCATATCACACATAGATAATCTTAAATGGTATTGTTTCTGTTCCTTAATATTCTTCATCATTGATCTGTCTCACAATCAGATAATCTTGAAACATTTAATAAAACCTATGGTATAGGAGGTGGTGGTAACAATAGCTATGACTTAATTAGGGCTCCTCATGAGCCAGGCATGTGCTGAGTGTCTTACATATCTTGTCCCACTTCATGCTTGTGGTGACCCTCCAGAGTAGCTCGTTTCACAGTTGAGCAAACAGGGCACAGTTGAGGCCAACATCAAACAACTAGGAGTGTAAAGAAAACTGGACTTTTCCTGTTAGTCCTGTTTGACTCCAAAACTTGTATCTTTCCATGCCACCAGTCTGTGATAGCTGATGGTATTGGTTGATGACAAATATACTTTAAATTTATTCCTGGATCAGTCTTTAGTCTCACACAGTTTTACGTGGACATGGAAGATGTGCATTCACTATCATCTACTCAAATAATACCATTGTTCCTCTTAAGTTGTTTAGTACATAGCAAATGATCATTCATGTAAATCCATGAATAGCTAAACACGAATCCTTTCATTTTCCATCAAAATTATTTCCAAGAGAACTTTTTGAGAGTGAGTGGGAACTTGGGGTACATTATATAGCATACTTCCTCTCCCAACTTTAGCTTAAGCCTGAAGAACCACTGTTAGTACCCTTCCACATTTCTGGGCATTTTTCCCCCAGGAAGAGCCCATTTATTGCATAATTATTCTTACACACTGACTGTCCCAAATGTTGCTAGCTCTTATGAGAAGTGGTAAGAAACAGCTGTTGCATCAGGAATATTTTGAATTAGCTCTTCTTGTCCAAAGAACATTCGAAATGCTGAGCCAAAAGTAGCATTCTAATGATTTTAGGAAGGCAAACAGTTACTGGTCTACAATACCTATCATGTGGCAGTAGACCAGGCCATGATCAGGGTGGAGCAAGTGAGGCATATAATAATATATATATATATATATATATATAATGTTCATAAAGTATAAATAATGTTTCAATGGCAGGTTCACTACTAATGATTTTTTTTCTGCTCTCAGGTTCAGTACAGCACTAACTTTATTTCAAATTTTGTTAGTTTATTGTTCATAGATATTTTTCCCCCTGATGCTGAGTTTTAATTTTTAGTATTATTTATCTGTCTTACTTCATTTTGTGGTACCTCCTTAAATTTTGCACATCAGACAAGTGCTTCACTCTCTTCACCCAAGTTCCAGTCCTGATGATGGACTTCATAAATCCATTTGTAAATGGATAGTAGAGCAGCAAAAACGAGAACATTAGCAATGCATGCACTTCATGGAAAAGTAATTCAAGCCACACTTTTAAATGGGTAGTACAAAGATATCTAGGATGCTTATTGGTCTTTGTGTCTTGACATAAAGGACTAAAAATTGCCCAGGT